GTTGTTGTTGTAGTAAGTAAGTAACTATAGTAGTAGTAGTGTGTGTTGTGTGTGTGTGTGTGTGTGTGTGTGTGTGTGTGTGTGTGTGTGTGTGTGTGTGTGTGTGTGTGTGTGTGTTGAAGATGTTTAGGGGGAATGAGTATGTGTCCTGTCAAAGAGTCCTCTGTCATGACTCCAAATCATTGATTGGGGGATCTGCCTAAGGGCAGAGGGACAAACACACACACGCACAGGAGCGAAACAGATGGAATCAACAAACTGCTGACTCACTGCCTGGGGTCCCGCCCAGAAGTGAAACCGACCAATGGAACACTGCCAACTCACTGGCTAGCTCGCTCAGAAGTGAACTCGCCAATAACAAATAGCTAGGAAGGAGCAAGCGATAAAACTCCTCCCCACCTGTGTATAAATGTTGTGATCATTTTGAAGATCGGCGCTCTTGTTTTTGACTGGCCGTGCCTGAGAAGTGTCTCACGCGGTGGTAGAACTTGGGCCAGGAGCATTCTGCATTTTGAAGATGCTGTTGCAGAGTGCTTCGTGATTAGGTGATTAGGTGATGTATTGTATGTTTTACCATTAAAACAGATTATTGTTTAACCCTTATCCTGGTGCTTTGACTTTTCCTTCTTTGAGAACCCGCTCATAGAGGAACGGCGCGGAGCAGAGGCTCTGCCCCAACAACACACACAAACACACTCCACTCTGTGACCTTGTTTGGTGATTTGGTGAGAAATTGAAATAATGTTGATTACTGGAGTCATGCAGTATTATGTGTTTAATGGGGCGTTGAGAGGGAGATGGGACAAAGAAGAGATTTAGAGAGGGACTGCAGATCTGTGTCAGAAAGGCATCTTATTCAGAGTGAGCCATGGAGCTGTTGTTGCTGTTTTTATCAGTACAGTTCATTACTAATGGGTTTTAAATTGCAGTCTTTCAATAAAAAATTGGTGGAAGTTACAGTAGCTTATTTATCATAAAAGAGACCAGTTTGACCCCTACTACCTTGAAACTGTTATCTTTATTGAGCAAAGCAGTTCCAGTTCATGTCGCATTTTTTACTTTTACTGGACTTTACTGTTCTCATACTATATAGAACTAATTATGGACTATAATATTTTGTTAGCTCTATCCTTAACCCCTTTTCTAAAGCGTTTAGTATCTTTTATAAATACTTATGCTTTCATAGTTATCTTGCATGATCCTTGATCGATCAGTATGCCGTCATGTCTCCACTAGCTTACTTACTTCAGTTAGCCTACATTTATAATAGATGAGAGCAACCCTCCCTCTGGAACTCACTCCCACAACCCATCAGAGACTGCACTGACCTCACCACCTTAAAAAAACTCACCTCTTCAATCTGGCTTTTAATGTTTGATTGTTGTTGTATTGCTTGATTTTAATTTGACTTTAACTATATGTATTTGTTGTTCTTTTCACTATCTTTGTAAAGCGACTTTGAGCACCTGTAAAAGCGCTGACAAAATAAATATATTATTATTATTATTATGTCTGATCCTCTGCTGCTCTCTGCTGGACAGTCTGAGCTGCAGGTTCATGAACACATCACTTTACACCGAGACTCACCTGTCTCCGTCTCCTGTTGTTAGACAGTTTTTCGGGTATAATTCCCTTTTGACAGATGAGCTATCTGATTGGACGGCGGCAGCAGCAGGAAGCAGACAGACACCAGGGGGCGGGGTTTACATGTTTTTATTGATATCATAATGACGATAAAAAGAACATAAAAAACAGCTGTGATGAGGAGAGGCGGGGCTTCAGCAGTCAGTTTCAGCCAATCAAAAGACAGGAAGGAGAAGATCAGTCTGTCAGAATGTTGCCTAGCAACATTACTCCTCTGGCGAATCAGGACAGGGGGCGCGGCTAGAGGACGTCGTCGCTCTCTGCCGTGTGAAGCTGCGTGTCATCAGCGTCCGTCATGATGCTGCTGTCCTGACTGTCTGCAGCTGAGAGAGAGAGACGGGTTAGTGCCTGTCTCCCCCCCTCCCTGTCTCAGTACCTTTCTCACATTCGTCCTCCGGCTACAGTACCTGTCTCCCCCCCTCCCTGTATCAGTACCTGTCTCCCCCCTCCCTGTCTCAGTACCTATCTCACCTTTGTCCTCGGGCTAAAGTACCTGTCTCCCCCCCTCCCTGTCTCAGTACCCGTCTCCCCCCTCCCTGTCTCAGTAGCTGTCTCACCTTTGTCCTCCGGCTACAGTACCTGTCTCACTACCTGTCTCTCCCCCTCCCTGTCTCAGTAGCTGTCTCACGTTTGTCCTCCGGCTACAGTACCTGTCTCACCCCCTCCCTGTCTCACCTTCGTCCTCCGGCTACAGTACCTGTCTCCCCCCCTCCCTGTCTCAGTACCTGTCTCACCCCTCCCTGTCTCAGTACCTGTCTCACCTTTGTCCTCCGGCTACAGTACCTGTCTCACCCCCTTCCTGTGTCAGTACCTGTCTCACCCCCTCCCTGTCTCAGTAGCTGTCTCCCCCCCATCCCTGTCTTAGTACCTGTCTCACCCCCTTCCTGTCTCAGTACCTGTCTCACCTTTGTCCTCCGGCTACAGTACCTGTCTCACCCCCTCCCTGTCTCAGTACCTGTCTCACATTTGTCCTCCGGCTACAGTGCCTGTCTCACCCCCTCCCTGTCTCAGTAGCTGTCTCGCCCCCTCCCTGTCTCAGCACCTGTCTCGCCCCCTCCCTGTCTCCCCCCCTCCCTGTCTCAGTACCTGTCTCACCTTCGTCCTCTGGCAGGTATCTCTTATCGATGGCTTCTTTGATCTGGTTGTTGGCTCCTTTGGGATCCAAATCCATCGCCCAGCTGAAGTTCATCAGAGCCAGGTGGGTCTGCCCCAGCTTCTTATACACCTGAGAGACAGACAGGCAGTCAGACAGACAGACAGGTGGGTCTGCCCCAGCTTCTTATACACCTGAGAGACAGACAGGCAGTCAGACAGACAGGTGAGTCTGCCCCAGCTTCTTATACACCTGAGAGACAGACAGGCAGTCAGACAGACAGGCAGTCAGACAGACAGACGGGTGGGTCTGCCCCAGTTTCTTATACACCTGAGAGACAGAAAGGCAGTCAGACAGGCAGTCAGACAGGTGAGTCTGCCCCAGCTTCTTATACACCTGAGAGACAGACAGGCAGTCAGACAGACAGGTGTTGTTACCTTTCCTATAAGGAAGTAAACCAGAGACTCTTTGGGAACGATCTGCTTCAACTCCTCCAACTCCTGAAGAGCCGCCTGCAGACAGACAGGCAGAGAGACATGCAGAGAGACATAGTATCAGTACTCACACCTCAGTATATGCAGTAATGTGTGAGTATCAGTACTGAGTATATGCAGTAATGTGTGAATATCAGTACTGAGTATATGCAGTATTTTTGGCAGTATTCGGATCACCTTGTACTTGTCGTTGGCGAACAGGATGGAAGCTCGGTGGAACTTGCAGAGCGGGTTTTTAGGGTCGATCCCTATCGCTCTGTTCAGAGTCTCTAAAGCTGTGTCAGACTTCTTCAACGCATGCTGCACCTACACACACACACACACACACACACACACACACACACACACACACACACACACACACACACACACACACACACACACACACACACACACACACACACACACACACACACACACACACACACACACACACACACACACACACACCATTACATTTTTTTGTGTTTTGTCAGTCTAAACCTAATCATATTTACTTTACATGCTAACAGAGCAGCTGTTGTGGATGCTACATGCTAACAGAGCAGCTGTTGTGGATGCTTCATGCTAACAGAGCAGCTGTTGTGGATGCTACATGCTAACAGAGCAGCTGTTGTGGATGCTACATGGTAACAGAGCAGCTGTTGTGGATGCTTCATGCTAACAGAGCAGCTGTTGTGGATGCTTCATGCTAACAGAGCAGCTGTTGTGGATGCTTCATGCTAACAGAGCAGCTGTTGTGGATGTTACATGCTAACAGAGCAGCTGCTGTGGACGCTTCATGCTAACAGAGCTGCTGTTGTGGATGCTTCATGCTAACAGAGCAGCTGTTGTGGATGCTTCATGCTAACAGAGTTGCTGTTGTGGATGCTACATGCTAACAGAGCTGCTGTTGTGGATGCTACATGCTAACCTACCACTCCGATGTGACAGAGCAGCACCGAGCTCTGAGGGTTGACGCTCAAAGCTTTCTTAAAGTGAATTTCTGCCAAGTTGAACTTCTCCTGTTTGTAGTAAATCATCCCCAGACCGTACCTGAGCACACAAAGAGTATTTATTCCATTAGAGACATTCACTTTGAAACCTGTATAAAAAACATGGTACAAATATTTAGGGCTGCAACAACGAATCGATAGAAATCGATTGCTAAAAAGGTTGGCAACAATCCAGGTATCGATTCGTTGGGTCTAGTTTGTTCCTCTCTGTTTGCGGAGCTGAATACGCCACTAAAAAAGAGAAAAAACATTTGAAAAATGGCGGAGGCGGAGAGAAGGGTTAGGGAATACAGTTTTCTGAATAAAGTAATGGGGAAAAAAATGTTGATGCGTTTTTTATCCGATGAATCAATTAATCATAGAAATAATCAACAGATTAATCGATTATCAAAATAGTTGTTAGTTGCAGCCCCACAAATATTTAAATGTATATACAGCAGGCCGCGGTGTACCAGGCGTTGTAGTGGCGGTTGTTGACTCTGATGGCGTTCCGGAAACAAGCGAGAGCCCGGTCCAACTCCTCCGTCAGGACAAACTCATGACCCAGCAGAGTGTAGGCATACGCAAAGCCCGGATCCACCTGAGGGACAAACAGGTCAGAGACAGGAGGACAGACAGGTCAGAGACAGGAGGACAAACAAGTCAGAGAGAGGAGGACAGACAGGTCAGAGAGAGGTGACACAGACAGGTCAGAGAGAGGTGAGACAGGTGGCAACAGTCTCACCTGGATGGCTCTCTGGAAGAACTTGATGGCGATGTCGTGTTCTCTCTGTAGACTGAAACAGTTCCCTGCCACACACCAGGCCTGCAGACAGACAGGTTGTTATGAAACCCTAATGGAGGGCAGACTGAGGCAAGACTCCGTCATGGAGTCGGACTGAACCCCCTCCAGGAGGTATGGTTCGTAACTAAGGACAGTCTTCGGACAGGTATGGTTCGTAAATAAGGACAGTCTTCGGACAGGTATGGTTCGTAAATAAGGACAGTCTTCGGACAGGTATGGTTCGTAAGTAAGGACAGTCTTCGGACAGGTATGGTTCGTAACTAAGGACAGTCTTTGGACAGGTATGGTTCTTACCTCAGGACAGTTTTTGTCCATGTCCGTCAGGTCTTTGGAAAGGGCGGACAGGGCCACGTCTTTCTGAAGGTGCCACAGTGTTGTAGAGTAGATCTCCATTCCTTCCACTCGGTACGACTCGATCCTGCGGACTTCGCTGAACAGACGCTCGGCCTACCAACAACATTATGACATCATCATTCACCTCCAACAAGATTATCATTGTCATTACTACAGTGCAGAAGGGGTCAGATGTGTGTTACAGGTGTGTCAGATGTGCGTTACCTGTGTATCAGATGTGTGTTACCTGTGTGTCAGATGTGTGTTACCTGTGTCAGGTGTGTGTTACCTGTGTGTTACCTGTGTGTCAGATGTGTGTTACCTGTGTGTCAGGTGTGTGTTACCTGTGTGTCAGATGTGT